TTTTTTCATGTTTACTGAAAAATGAGTAATTTTTCAGTTGTCTAAATACTTAAAGCACTGAGTGGCCGCTATTGAAATAATGAACTAGTAATTTAAACATAATTTCTTAAAATTAAATAGACAATTATTTTTACTACCATAAACTTTATCCTGTCCATACTGAGAGAAGTTAGTGCTAGGAGATAGAATTTAATAGAAAAATTCAGCTTTATAATTTTTTTTTTCTTTTTTTGAGACAGACTCTCACTCTGTTGCCCTCAGTAGAGTGCCATGGAATCACAGCCCACAGCAACCTCAAACTCTTGGGCTCAAGCGATTCTCTTGCTTCATCCTCCCAAGTAGTTGGGACTACAGGTGCCCACCACAACACCTGGCCACTGTTGCTTGCAGTTGTTGTTGTTTAGCAGGGCCGGGCCAGGCTCCAACTGGCCAGCTTCAGCATATGTGGCTGGCACCCTACTCAATGAGCTATGGTGCCAAGCCTAAAACTATTTTTTAAAGAACTTTTCATCAGTGGCTTAGCGCCTGTAACACAGTGGTTAGGGAGCAAGCCACATACACTGAGGTTGGTGGGTTCAAACCTGGCCCGGGCCAGCTAAACAACAATGACAACTGCAACAAAACAACAGTGGGGTGTTGTGACAGGCGCCTGTATTCCCAGCTTCTTGGGAGGCTGAGGGAAGAGAATCAATTAAGCCCAAGAGTTTGATGTTACTGTGACCTGTGATGCCATGGCACTCTACCAAGAGCGACACACTGAAACTCTGTCTCCAAAAACAAAAGAGAAAAAATTTCATTCTTTATCCAAACTTCATGTCTTAGAAGGTTTGAAAGGTAAAGCTATCTTTTATAGGATTTGACTAGGTATTATTCGCTATAATCTTGTCTTGTCATGAGTATTAGATGATTTTCAGTAATGTGCTTGAACTTTTCACTATCGAGAGTTCCGTTGCATTTATGTTTTAATATGGCAGACCTTTGTGACTATGCTTTTCCAATGAAATTTATTTATTTATTTATTTTGAGATAGACTCTCACTTTGTCGCCCTAGGTAGAGTGCCCTAGCGTGGCATCACAGCTCACAGCAACCTCAAACTCACGGGCTTAAGCGATTCTCTTGCCTTAGCCTCTCAAGTAGCTGGGACTACAGGTACCTGCCACAATGCCCGGCTATTTTTATTTTGTGGTTGTAGTTGTCAATGTTGTTTGGCAGTCCTGGGCTGGATTTGAACCTGCCATCTCCAGTGTATGTGACTGATGCCTTAGCCACTGAGCTACAGGCACCAAGCCTCCAGTGAAATTAAAATTAGGATTTGAGTATTTTTTAGTACCTTAAAATGTAATGTTATAGAGTGTGAGATTTAAAGGACCACCAAAGACATCAATTAATTAATGCCAGTTTTAAGAGTCTTTATTAGGTTGGCCAACCAACAGTCCCCCTAGGCGGATACGGAGGGAACAGTACTGGCAATGAGAAGGGAAGGGTTTATAGCAGGTAAATTATCTATACTATCAGGGGGCTACGTGCAATCCAGCCAGCAAGCAAGCAACTGACTTTCATCATCGGTTTGTTACAGAAGCAAAAAGCATTATAGCATTTGCAGTTACAGCAGTCACGGATCAACAGTCACAGATCAACATTCACAGATCACAGGTCTGGGTAGGTAGATCACAAGTCAGGGTAAGAAAACAATTTTACTCTGAACAATGGGTCAGGCAATAATTGCAGTATCATGCTGGCGGGTTCTGTTGTTCCTTAATTTTTATTTTAGCTACTTCCTTCTCTCGAGCAAGGGCAAGAGCTTATAGGGGGATTCTTATCCCATCTCAGTAAATGCTCTAAGTTCTTAGTCTTGACAGTAGTTTGACATCCAAAATGCTGCCATTATAATTGGGTAACATTGGCAAACATATACTGTGCTTATGGGCATTGTTCTTTGCACTTCACATGTATTGACTAAATATCAAAAATATGT